GGGGGGGGGGGGGGGAATGTTCATATTAATCAGTGGTTAGAATTTTTCATGCACAAGTTAACGGTATGGACCTTAAAAATTAATTTTTGTTTTGTAAGGTTACGAGTTCCAGTGATGACAGAATTATGCAGTGTGCTAATTTATGAAAGTTTCGAAGTATTAATTAGAGCAGGTTTGCTCTACTAAGACATATCATTTTTTAATGCATTTGATAAAGCTACGATGCTGGGTATTTCACTGTGAGGTCGCTTTTTCTTATGCATGAATATCAAGTTTCAGAAGTCACGAGGATGTCATATGATGTTAGCAGGTTATGAATATTGCAATCGCTCCATAAGACAGAAAATTTTCACGATTATAGACAACATGAGATTTAAACACCGCCCGGAAATAAGAGCGCTCATAACAGTTTTGTTGCGCACATCTTATGAGTTTGGCACATATATTAAAATAATATTGGATATGCGTTAAGACACTGGTTTGTTCTAAACGATCATTCAGATGAGGGAAGCACACTTAACCTTTCGCTTCCTAGGTTCACTGATTTTTATTTGTATTGAAAAAAAAATAACAGAAAAGTTATTGTTTTTAATTTAACCATAGTAATGTCCTAAGTATATATAACATATAAGAAACGTACACAGAAAATTTTCGAAACTTTTGAGAATTCCTGAAGCATTCACTTGTCTCGTTTATAGTTTAGCAGCCCATAGAGATGTTCTTAATGTGTGTGTGTGTTTTTTTTGTGTGTTTTTTCTTGTAAAGGGTCAGTAGGGAATAATAAAGGTTTGATAAGTAAAAGCACTTTGTATATAAAAGTATATAATATAGGTGAATATGCTAAAGTTATATCTATATACGACACTAATTGTGCAAAAGACCAGTTTCGCTTGCCCGAAACTGTATTTTAAAGACATTTTGGCACCATTCAAGAGAAACAAACTTCTTATTTTTTGGCAATTTTAAAACCTAGAACTAATTTATGGCAACCGTCCAAGCTGTAAATGATCTTTCGGGTTCTCACACATAAACTAAATCAGCTAATTAAGGTTATGTTCAGCAGTAATTTCAGAAATGTTTCTCGGTTGATGTAAAAATTATTAGTTCTTTTCATTCATACTTACGACGATATTTCTTCATTTCTACGTCGCTTTGAAAAGACTTAGCTTTTTTTTAATATCGTTAAAGAAAGTCCACGTCATGAAATATGACATTTCAATTTGAATTCACTCTAGATTCTGTGCACAGGGGCTTTTAGGTTTCGTTAATTGAACACACTAATGAATCAATTATATCTTAAGAGTTACCGTGTGGACTTACGTCACGAAGGTCTGTATTGATTCGTAGTAACTGGCGATGTGCCTGGACTCCTCGTTGGTAAACCAAAATATGACAGCGTATTTTTTGAAGCGAACGGTCAAGGTGCTCCAACGTGAAAGAACAATGGAGTTGGTTTTGTCTGCCGCTCCAGACGTGTTGAAATGGAATTTCCTATGCATGATGAAATGCAGTTATTAATCATTTCAGAGAAAACCATACAACTATAAATGTATCTTATAAAGTGTAATTTTAAAATACTACTACTAATAATAGATAATGATAGATACGGAAAAAATACAATAACATAAATACTGCTTAAATTAACGAAGTTATGAAATATGTTACTAATGGGTTAATTCCAATGGAAAATAAAATAATACCCAGAATTCTCTAAGGAAACGTACAAATTCACTAAACACCGACTGTAATTCACATTTGAAAACTGGTTTACAACTTCGTCAACAGGTTGTCAACACCGCATTGAAAATGTAAACGTACGAGGATTTTAAGTACAAAGATAAAAAAAATTCAAAACTCAGAAATTAAGACAAACAAATTAGGTATGAATTTGAATTGGAATCATTTTCTTATTCTTTGTTATTTTACTTTTTTATTATTTGTTATCCTTGTTTTTGTTACTGTCAAAAAATATCCTGATAAATCCCTTATATATCTGTCCATAAGTCTTCTGGGATCAAGATTATAATTTTGAACTTTACATATAAATTGATATTTTTTAAACCACACACCCACACCTACAATTTAAATCTCTTATGAAATGTCAAGTTAAGTTTCTGTTCAAAATATCTGTTTAATGAAATGAGTTCACACTTTGATATGCAACATTAAAATGAGTGTCCAGGAGAATCTCATACTTCCAAATTTATAACATAGTTTTAATACCTGCTCCTAATATTCAGCCCAATTTTATGTTAATGTTAAGGGGCACACGCAGTCTTTGCTAATTCACTCAAAACTCAGTCGTTAAATCCAAGAGGACACACCTGATAATTAGCCCCCGGTTTGCACCTCCAGCCTGGGCCTATGTCCTCAAGACACAAACAAAGGTTCGAGCCTCCATCTTGGAACCACATAGGCTTGGGAGTGTCTAATAACTTTCCTCCCAAGTTTTTCTCAACTCCAACTACGCCCTAACAACAACAACAACAAAAAAAAAAGAAAAATACGCAAATGAATAATTATTATTGTAAAATATATAATTATTGTTTATTTGAAGTTAAACACAAAGCAACGCAATGGGTTTTCTGTGCTCTGCCCACCACGGGAAACGAAACTCCGATTCTAGCGTTGTAAGTCCGGAAACATTCCGCTGCGCCACTGGGAGACATATTTAATTATATGTAATCATTAATAAACAACAATTCTTTACTTAAACTAGTGAACTAAAGCGAGTAATATGATATAATATGTAACACTGAATTTGAGCTTAAAATTAAATCTACAAGGATTAAATTACGATTCAAAAAAACTGCAGCTAAGATATTAACAGCTTTATAATTAGTGTTCGTTTTATAATATACCACTATAGTATGACAAAGTTTTATCTTCGTAAAAATCTTTCTTCTCCCATTGGAAAATATCCCCGTCCCACCCTTTCAGCCGTGGGGGCGTTATAATGTGACGGTCAATCCCTCTATTCGTTGGTAAAAGAGTAG